AGTGAAACGGGCAGCAGGAGGCGTGGTGTTAGCGAAACCATATGCGACGAGAGTGGACAGATAATCCATAGCTTGTCAAAAAGCCCAGGAAGTTAGCCTTAACACTTTGAAAAGCAAAGTAATCAACCAGAGTTGCCATCTCTCTTAGCGGTCATTGTTCGACCTACTCCCTGGGTTGTCCCTTTCGATCAGACCCGAAAGCGTGATCAGACTGTTAAAATGGAACAAGGTCGCGGGAGCAGTTAGGCTTCTTACAACTTCCTTTAAATTCAGGGAACTAATCTTATACATGAAGTGCACAATTTGTGAAGCTATGGGAGCAGGAGACGGTCTCAGCAAATTGGAGCCGCTCAATAATAGTTTCAATTTCCAAGAGGCTCAGATTCGGATTGCAGCAATCATAGAGGGATCGGTCTGACCATAACTGCCTCTAAACTTCAAAGTTGGACTTGGAGCAACACTATAACGCCAATAAACTTCTTGCGCCTGTCATTCTCCGCCGATTGACCGGCACTTATGAAAGTCAGATTCAGCAGCAACAAGCCGGATTTCATGGAAAGCGAGGTTGCATTGACCACATCTTCAAGTTACGCCAAATGTAGAAGCACCGTCATATATATCAGTGGCCCACCGTTGTCATGTTCCACGTTATCAAAGGTGCCTTCGATGCGGTGAATCGATGTGACCCCGGGACAGTTTGCACAGAAAAAGTGGGTCCGAGAAATAGTTAAACATTACCAGAGCGCTGTAGGCGCATATTTCGGGCAGAGTGGTTTATGAAGAACCGCCGCCACCTAATATCTCCAGTGGTGTGAGACAAGGTTGCCCACCGTCATTTTCCCTTTTAAACTTCGCCGTCGAGGAAGTCATGTCAACGACATTCATTAAGCATGATCTACAAGGTGTGGAGCTGCTTCCAAGTGATCAACTTCTTGAGTTGGAGTATGCGAGTGGCATTACCTTAATCTGTGACAGCTCATAAAAGTGCCAAACAGCACTAGACAGATTAGCACTGGCTGTCGGTTGTTTCGGGTTATGCTTTGCATCCTCGAAATGCAGGACCCACTCTTGCGCTGAATTCTGGTGGTGATCAGCTACAATCCGTCCAGAAATTCAAGGACCATGGCAGCTATAGTACTGCCGATGGAACAGATGAAGTCGCAAACCGTATAGCAAAAGCCCAAATCGCTTTTACTAAATTCCCCCCAACTGTACCGTCAGCGTGACATCACACTCTCTCTCTCTCGTTGAAGGGTGGAGTTTACAACGCATTCGCGAGTTCACCCCTTCTGTAGGGTTGCGAAAACTGGCTTATCAGATCAAGATATGTAAAGAGGTTAGTTACGTTCGACCATTGTTGTATTCGCAGTTTGGTTCATATCTAATGGGAACGCCGCGTGAGCGAGTTCGGCACCGGGTATTTGGCGCAGGAGTAACGAATGAACCGCTCAGTAGCGCTATTTCACGAACCAGGCTCCAATGGCTGGGTCACGTGTTGTGCATGCTAGCACGCCGACTCCCGTGATGTTTGTCGTTTGTTCGATCAGGGTCCGGATGGGACATGATGAGCAGACGTCAAACGATAATTTGGTCAGGAGGAATGAAGTTCCTCACTTCGAACTTGGCGTCGGTTGGTGCTTTCGGACTACCAGTCTGGAGTCCCAAGAAGGGTGAACACGTTTGGTTGACATGGCAAACAGCCGACATCAGTGGCGTTTGGGTTATGAGTTTCTTTGTTTTTCGCCTGCCCGCTTATCTTCCCTTCTCAACAACGATGCCACACTAAATGAATAAAAGAAAACATAGCCTTAGATTACTTACTGTTTACTTTCTGTATACTGTAAGGTTTAGTAGCGCGCTCTCCATGTATCTTTTGTATTGCGGCACAGTTAGCTAAAGTGTGTTTCTCACCTTTAGCTAATGTGTAATGATGAAGATGATGATGATAAATACGGAACACTGTTTGGTCAGTTAACCACCTGAGGTGAGGTGGTGACTAAGCGACTCCAATAACTCAGTAGGAAGAAAAAAACATCAGGAGTACGCAGATATGTCGTAACGACGCTTCACTGCCACATGACCGCGACCAGTCACGCGAGATAGCCCACATCCGTGCAGAACAGCATAAAGTGGTCGCAGTTAGATGCACACCCGCAAAGGAACATGCCGAAGTATATGAAGCCTAAATTCGAGCAATTCAGTACTGTATGGATAGGAGTTGGAGTAATAGGGCTCACGACTTCCGCCTTCATCAGTCGTACTAGGCACCACTGCTCCCACTGTTAAGTCAACTTCGGTGTTCGGAAGGGGATGGATGACTATGAGCGGTGGTTGTCATCCCGGTTCCTCAACCTCAACGCTTTAAAGCATCACGAAGTAATCTGCTTTCCTCTGTACTGACAATCTTTGGACTTTGACAAACACTTCTCGACATACCCAGTTCAACTACGGTAAGCATCTTGGAGAATTGTTATCTCAAGCTATCATGGTCAAGGAACGCAGAAAAAACTACCCGGAAGATAAGAATAGCAGTATATGCCCTGAGGCTCAGAATGCTATGAGTATCCTGTTCTTTAATTCAAAAATTCGTGATTGCTTACATTTCTCCTTACTGGTAGTATTTCTCACTAAGCATTATCCCTGCTGCTCCTCAAAGGGAGTTCACACCAATTGTTCATTCCATTAAGCTCAGTTCCAGGTGCAATGGCTTACCCAGATAGTCTCTCACAGACACCATAGTTATGAAACATCTCGGTGCACGTTTAAAATGATTTAAAATGATTTACTACACACGGCCAGACGGGGAAAGGGAAACATTTCAAAGGAATACCCTGCATGAAAGTAGGTTCCATGGAGACAGTTCTATGGATGGCCGTAATACTTTAGTTGAACAATTGGCTGTATCTCCATTTGCTATGATTCCATTTTCCAGTCTTTCCGATACATTAAAATTCAGTTACGAAAAATATGTTTGTAAACCGCATTGCGAAACCAATAGTCATCTATTTTGTGCGCTCCCGCTGTACATATTCGGTCAGACCGCTCATTTGGACTGCGCTCTGCCCTATGGAGAAGCATACCACTTATTATTATTATTACTATTATTATTATTATTGGTAGTAATAGTAGTAGAAGTAGTAGTAGTTCAGGTTTCTGTTGTATCGTACAGCATCTTGTCGTAGCGCCATCTTCCTGTGGTTATCACGCTTCTCTGTGGACTCCAAGGTAGTTATCAGTATCACACACGAAAGTATTGGTTGGCAACATCCGGTTTCGGATTTCCCTGTCACCGTGGCCAGCCACAGGATGCCTGCGCCTACAGAGGGACCATGGATGGCTTGCGCTGCACCACCTATAATGCCACCCACGCACCCCATATCCGGTGTAGACCCGAAGGAATAAGACCGGCAGGCATGTGGATGGGAGCCAGGTTTCATCAACCGAGCCGGCCCACACTCCTTCACAGGCAAACACAAGCACGCTGTAGTGGGGAATCAAGCGCACACAAGGCGGTGGCTGGACCGTAGTCCGCTCCACACTGAGTGCATGGAACCACTCTTCGAGCCTATCACGACCACAAGGACCGTGCACCCAGTCCCCTCCAGCAACGACCAACTGTCTCCTGGAGTCAGTATGAACGAGGTAGTAGGTAATAGACAGGTAGGCACCTTGTCAACATGCACATCAAGCGCAGCCACAGCGGGGATATCAAACAACAGCCATTACCTTGAAACGACAAGATGAAATAAAATAAATCCAATAATGCATACAGATACAGTGGCATAACTCTTCGGTAAATTACCGTATGAAATAAGTTGATTAGCAACGAATCCGCGATAAGTAAGAAATGTCCACAAGTTACTTAAAAATGTTACAAACGCAATAAAATTACCGAAGATAAGCGCAATTAGCGTAACTAATGTGGCCAGTTAATGGAACATTATTCAAGTAGCCAGAAAAAAGAATAAAAAGGAATGGAATGGAAGGTATCCAGCTTAAAAAGACCGTTTAAGTGTAAGTTGGTCTAGCCCAACTGCGGTGAAGAAGCATCATGAATGCAACATCAGCGTCAGAATGGGGCACACACGAAGGTATATTTAAGTGAGTCATGTACATATTTATAATTCGCCCTTTGCTTGAAATTTCGTATTAATATCATGCTTCATTACATCCGTAGCGCTAGTGTAGTATGTTGAAAACGTGCCCCAGCCAGTTGCATAAAGCTTACTTGGACTTGACTTGACTAAAATAGAACAGGATAGACATCATGAGCACTTAGTAGTAGGCTACAGAAAGGAGAGTGGGAGGGTGGTCTTCACGAAAGCGACGAAAACGTTATGACGGCCAGGTTGAACATAAAACGAGCTGGACAAACTGTATCCAGCATGCTACGATCTGCGGTTAACTGACCAAATTGAAGTGATACACCACTTCAGTTGTGTTAGTTAAAAATGTGGTTATGCTAATCGCCATTCACAAATGTTTCCAAACGGTGAAGAATAATGAGTGTTCAGACGCGCACTCAAAGACTGACAGTGCAGCACCCTGACAGTCCAAACCAGAGCACACTATAAAACTTTGTGATGAATGAGTACTTCTCAGTAAGCGCAATGAACAAAGTGGAACTGATAGGAAAGTAACGATATTTCCAGACCCACTGCGGCTGATAGGGAAAAGGATTACGCGCCTGCTTTGTAAGCTGGAGGTCACCGGTTCAAATCCGCGTAGGTACAGGAGTCTTCGCAGTATACTTAGTCCACGCCGAGTACTAGTGATTGCGTGGCACAGTGTGCCGGCTAATGATGATGCCTTCCATCCTTTCTGCTTGAGTGTAGTAAAAGAAACGAGTTCGTTTCTTCGCTTTTAAATGGTAGCCTACGGGTGTTTAAAGCTATGCACATGATATAGTTAACGGGACAAGTTATCGAAAAGCGCTTAGGGCAAAAAAGGACAAAATAAAAACAAAACTAGAATCAAGTATCACGGTATGCTAAGCTTACCTCAGGGACAGCACTTTCGGATAACACACGGGAGGCATCTTCTGCATAACAGAATTTCACAAAGCCAGTGCCCCGTGAATGGCGAGTTTCCGGGTCTCTAACTACTTTTGCGAACTCCAGAGGAGCAAAAGAGACGAAAAATGCAAACAGTGTGTCATCATCCACATCGAATGACAAGTTCCTGAAAGGAGTTCAATAAAACCAAAAGGTAAATGCTCGGGATATTCAAAGGCATTATGCAGTTCTTTACCCCATTCCACTGTAAGCAGAACATCACAAGCAACTTTTCCAGAGCAGAGCATGCGCTAAAGAAACGATGCGCGGTCAAATGTCGTCATTGGGAGAGAGCGTTGCGAAGTGCAACGCAGAATGATACGTATAGTAACCGTTTCAAAAACTGAAGGCAATGTGGAGGAGTGACAATCAGTGTAGACTGCAGTGTGGTTCTCCGCTTTCCAAAAGCAGCAAAAGTTCTGAACTCTGTCTCACAAAGTTGGAACCTTAATTCTAGGAAACTGAATGGGAAAAATGAGCTACATAAAAAGTAGCAGTGAGAAATAATTATGCCTGCAGAAATGTGAAGGGCATCAGAAAGAAGTTCAGCTCAGCTGCATATGGATCCTCTTCCTGCCCACTGGCACCGGTACGTACCAGTGATAATGGAACATCTTCGGCAACATCGAGACTGTGGTAGGCACGGGTGTAGAAAACGGACACATGCAACTATTCTAACTGGTGTCGCCAAGTGAGTCGCACAATGAAGCGGATCAGTTGACGAGATTGCTTTAGTAGTTCCGGAAGCGTGTAACTAATAAGCTGAGGATAAGGTGAACGTAGTTTGTTCGGAAACCGAGTGAAGGTCACGAATTCAACATTTTCTGCCTAGTTCATTTCAGATGATTAACCATGAACAATGAAAGGAAAATATACTGAATGCAACTGGGTTGTCACTTGTTGTTAACAAAGTAATAGCAAGTCTGATCGAAAATGGGAAATATTTGGTCCGACAGCGTCAATGACTTCATGACTGCGCCGTATGCGACAGGGCATATAACGATTGATATGATCCAACAGAAAAGCTGGTCGAACAACCTCCTCGTAATGCTAGTTGGATGGTTCGGGTTTACCTCGTTCCAGCAAACAGTTCGGCGGCAGTGTTCCAGGATGTGGTAGGTTTTCGCCTAGTAAGCGTTCTCCTTCTGATAAAAAGCTACAAAGGTCTGTTTAACAACAGTGACGTGGCGGTTGTGACTCCCCACCAACTAAAGTCAGCGCATTGCTTATCCGGAGAACAGTTTCAAGTCCACCAGCATCAAACATCCCTTTAGCACTGGCGACACGATCAAAAGTGCAGCAAAGCATTTACAAATCCCATGAATCCGATTACACAAGACTACATGGTCGGCGGCCTCCGGTTCCGAAGTTGCCTGTCACAGTGGCCAGCCACAGGACGCCTGCGCCCACAGAGGGACCATGGATGGCTTGCGCTGCACCACCCACAGCTCCAACCATACACCCCATATCCGTTGTAAACTCGAAGGAATAAGTCCGGGAAGCATGTGGATGTGAGCCACGTTTCACCACCTTAGCCGGGCCACACTCCTTCACAGGCAAACACAAGCACGCTGTATTTGGGGAATCAAGCGCACATAACGCGGTGGCTCGACCGTAGTCCGCTTCACACTGAGTGCATGGAACCACTCTTCGAGCCTAGCACGACCACAAGAACCGTGCACCCTGTCCCCTCAAGCAAAGACCAACTGTCTCCTGGAGCCAGTATGGACGAGGTAGTGGGTAATAGGTAGGCACATTGTCAACATGCACATCCAGCGCAGCCACACCGGGGATGTCAAACAACAGCCAATCACTTGAAATGACATTGTCAAAAAATGTACCTATTAAAGAATACGGCTACGCCGACATAACTCTGAGAAATTAGCATATGAATTAAGTTATTTCACAAGGAATCAGCGATAAATACAAAATATCCACAATTCGCCCAAAAACATTACAAACACAATAAAGTTAACGAAGATAACGACAATTAGCGTAAGAAACGTGACCAGTTGATAGCAGATTATTCAGGTAGGCAGAACAGAGCAAATAAAGTGGAAGGAAATTTATCCGGCTTAAAAAGACTTAGTGTAAGTGTAAGTTGGTTTAGCCCAACTGCGGTGAAGTAGCATCATGAATGCGACATCAGCCTCAGCATGGGGCACACAAGACTACATGCATACATACAAACATTCATATATCAGCATAGGTAACAATCCTATTGTTCCATGCTATATTATTTGATCACAGTTTGTACTCTTATCATTATCATACCTATGGAGGCGTGCCTCGTTTAGTTGAAAATAAACATTGTAGTTATTTATTTATTTACCAGTGATTGAGTGAATGGTAAGCAAGAGACGAACTAGATAACCAACCGGACGAAGACTGAACAGAAACCAGGGGTGGACGAGCGATAGCCGCCCAGCTATGTAGTCCACAGGTTTAGCGAAAATTTGGCGATGGTATAGTTTCTAAGTTTTTTAACTGAATTATTGGTTTTCCCTCCGCAGAGTATGTGACAGCGTCGTTGCTATTAAATTGGGTCCAACAATGAGCTGTAGGGGTTGCGATGACCGTGTACCTGCAGGTCTTGATGAACCAACTGTCTGTTCATGAGGACCTAGCTGCTGAGGCAGCTGAAAGACGTGAAGATTAATAGTAAAAAATTATACCGTGGAATTGCTACAACGGAAGGCTGCGAATAGTATTTTTTCGAAAAATAGCATGCTTTTACAACTATAAAGTAGAATGCTGGGAAAGAAAAGATCGTTGAGGCGCGGCAGGAATTGGTGGAAGCAGAACAAAGCGGGAATGCAACCAGTTTAATCGATAAGTTGGTCAATTCTTCCAGATAGCAGCTACCACAGTATACACAAGTATGCATAAACACTCGGGCATCATCATCAGTATACACGTTAGCTGCAGGTGGAAAACACAGCTATTGTGCCGCAATGCAAAAGACAAGAAAAGGAAAACAAACAGTGGCACGCCGGCTGAGTCCCCAGTAACGGATTGCCATCGTTCCGGAGAGCTAACGGCTGACTATCGTGACGTAAAAAGAGGGTCATACTTAACGAGTGAGGTCGTGAATGGAGGGATAAACACTCGGTGGTTGTCAGCGTGTGTATGGAACGCTATCTGGGAGTACGCTGACCCTAGGGATAGGAGGGCTAACGCAAGTCCCCTCTGTTTGCATAGCTCAAATTGTGTTAGCGTGCTCGCGATATCTTCAGCCGTCCGTGAGATTCCTTTCCAAAGACTTTTAGGTAGGGCAAGTAATGAGTTGGTCAAGAGGAATGAAAACCCTCATTTCGAACTTGGGGTCGGTTGGCGCATCGTGACTGCCGGGCTAGGATCCCAAGGCCGATTAACACGTTTGGTTGGACACACCTGATGATATGGCGAACAGCCGGCCTCGATGGCGTTTGTGTTGTGAGTATCTTTGTCCACCCCCTCTCCTTTAGATTCCCTCACAAATTGCGGTCGCATAGCAAACGCATAGGATATTTAACAGTATGCTACGTGCCTTTTGTAGTGTAATTTTTAGTATCTTATCTCTTTTGTATTGCGACACAGTAGCTGAAGAGCGTTTCTTACACTTACGCTTACTTACACTTACGTTCAGTGCATTACTGATCCTATCCTGCACTGTAAGGCTCTTACCTTTCCACTGTACTACGCTCAATCTCTCCGGGTCTTCCCACTCGGAGATATATCTTTCATCAAGGCTTGTTTGTCTTCTCACCCGTGTGTTGAGATTGTGGTTGATTGAAGGACACCAGGAACATAACATCGGCGACGGAATTCTGAAACGGATCCAATCATGTCATTTTTAAGTGAGGATTTGGAAGCAATCCTACAGCAAACGCAGTTCGAACCATGTCAATTGTGACTCTTTTAAACTTTCGTTCAGTCCCTCTGTCTTTAACTAACAGTTCCATCAACAAGTAACAGCTCGGTATCCTTTTCTGAGGGCATTACAGCTTCTGTCTCAGTTTCACTATGAGCCTACATTCGGTATCACTTTCGATTCGTGGTATAAGCGCTGGAAGGATACATTTGAGAATGAGTTTACGGATAAAAATGACTCGTAGAAATCCCGACTATTAATCCGGAAACTTGGAACCATCGAGCACGATCTTTCAATAACTTCATACTTACAAACCAACCCCAAAAAATCATGATTTCGTGCACACAGCGGAACAATTACGCGATTTTCAGCGATCAACTTTCGATTTTCAACGCCCGGTACAACGAAATTAAGTTGGCAAAGGGTGATGCAGACGATTACGTCATTTATGTGGGCGGACATTCACTTAAGACCAGGTTAAGTGTTCGATTTTGTTTCTGGTCTTCATTCTCCCCAAGAGTCGGACGTTCGCACTAGACTGCTTTCAAAGCTTGAACAACAACAGGATATCACCACAAAATCTCCCACCACTGAATGCCAAAATCTGCTCAATCTTAAGCACGCTACCGCCATGATGCACGAATCACAAAATTAAAAAAGTGATCAACAACAACAGTATATCGGCTATTTGAACTGACGCTTCGCTGTCATACAACCATAATGACCTCTGGAATAAAGAACAATAAGAGGAAGAAAAGTGGGACTTACAGGAAAATCTTAATGCCCTAAGCAAACATTCAGGGTCAAGGCGCCTACACCTTGTGTAGACAACATACCGTCACCAACAGCTGGCTATAGTGAAAAGATAAGGCGGCATCAGTGAGACAGCTGCTCCTCGTCATAATCAGCCATTACCCCGCAGATAACTCAGCACCAAACACACTTTAAACAGGCAATCCGATTAGGAGACGGCAGCAGATGCGCCACTGGTGTTGGTTGCCAGGCCTGTCCTGCAGTCTCGAGCCAAGCACAAGGCGAGTCACGTGGACTCTAGCCCGGAAGGCGAGAAGGACCAACGGCATCCAGTTTGGTCGTCAGCGCCTTCATTTCACGCTGTCAAGTCAAATTTTGTCCACCTCGAGCCTTGCGCCACCATACACCTGGCAGACTAAACAAGGCCCCCCTAGGAAAGTAGTGACCAGGCAAAAGGAGTACGTGCCCGAGCCAACGCAACTTATGCAGTGCTATCTGTTGTTCTAGGGAGCTAGCATGAT